AAAAAAAAAAAAAAAAAAAAAAGAGAGAGTTCTTCCAAACAGCCCCTCCCAAAGTTGCCCACATTCCTTCGGTGTGTGTCACAGTACTGTGTAAGCTTCTGTACCTACTTATCACGCTATAATTACTTGTTTGCTTTCTTGTTTGTTGTTTTGACAACCCAACTGGATATCAGCATAAGAAGAGCAAGGGCTGAAATAAAATGAAACACCACACCACAGCAACGCGGGAGCTGGGATTCAAACTGCCCATTTAGTAAGTGAATGACTGAATCCAAGGTTAATTTACTTACATGTCTGAGGCAGCACAGGGGTAAGACACCACTGGCTTTTTACAGTGTTTGCAATGGGAGTCAACACAGGTCCGTTTGCTCCTGTCATCAAATAAATTATCTCAGGAATGCTGGAGTCTCAACTCTGGGTGTAATTAGGGGAAAATGACAAGGCAGTTTTGGAGAAAAAAAAAAATTAATGACCCCATGGATGCTTTAGGTAATCAATGATACTCCATTTCAACTCTCATTGCTATTTCCTGCTATTTAAATTTTTTAAATATAAAATTTATTTTCATGTGTACGGAGGGGGGGGGCTTTGCTTGCACTTTGTATGTGTACCATATGTGGTCAGTGCTGCTGGACGCTGGAAGAAGGTGACAAGTCCCCTGGAACTGGGGTTACAAACAATTGTGGACTGCAATGCGGGTGCTGAGAATCAAGCCCAGGTCTCCTTGAGGAGTGCTCTTAGCTGCTGATTCACCTCTCTAGTTCTCCTCCTGCTATTTAGAGAAAAGGCACCCGAAAGAAGAATCCAGACTCTAAAAGAGAACATCCTTCTCTCTATCAAGATGTGCACATCATAAAACTAGCTTATAAAATTAACACTGTTAAAAGAATGAGGGAGACACATCACAAATCATTCTAAAGGGCAATTAAGCTGTAAGTGGCCCGTCTCGGGTGATGTGCTGAACATGAAATTATTACAAAGCACACCAGAAGGAACTTTGGTGTTCCTTCAAGGGGCACATCATAATGGCACAAAGAGGGCTGGTTCCTAGTACCCGGGGTCCAGGGTTGACCCTGCTCCTGCTTCAGCGTCTGGCTTCATTTCCCCAATATAACAAGAAAGCTGACTGACAAGTTTGGTGTTTGTTTTATCATTAGGAGAAACTCTTGCCTAGCCATCACCAAACTAGAACTATATTTCTGACCATACATGTATCTGTGTGTGTAAATAAGAAGCAAAATCAATGTCAACTTTTTAAAAAAGGTTCCCTAATGTACCACCAAATTCTGAGTCAATCTTGGTTTCCAAGGTTTGTTGGCACTAAATGTGTCAGGGAAGATTCAAATGGAGAGGGCAAGACGACAGCTCATAAAATGCAACCCTGCTTACAACCGAGGACTTTCTATTTCCTCATCCTTCCTTTCCTAAAGACCACTAAAAGAGAACAGTTTTTAATAAGCACCCAGCAGTTTGAGACGGGCAGACATCTCATGATCCA